GCCCATGTTTGTATTGTGATCATTGCGCTCTTCCCGGGTGAGGCAGATCAGTCGCTGGCCATTGGACAGCCCCTCACCACGGTTCACGGCAGCTCACGCCGGCTGCCAGCCACTCACGCTGGCTGCTGGCCACTCATGGTAGCTTACGGCAGCCCACTGCAGCCCCACTGCAGCCTACACCATCGCCTCAAAGGCAGCCCAGCTCCAGGTCGAGCTGTTGTTCACCATCTTAGCTGTAGAGGGCCCATGTGGGATCTGAACTGGAGGCCCTGCTGCTCAGAGCTGGTGTCCCAAGCCAACTCTTAATGAACTGTGCCACTTGGCCAGCCCAATTCATTGTTTTCTGATTGTTTTTGTAGCTCTTCTCTGTTCCTTATTCTCTTGCTTTCTTATATGTTGATGATTTTCTATAATGTTGTATTTGGATTTCTTTCTTAATATTTCTTGTATATCTCTTATAGATTTTTAGTTTGTGGTTACCATGTGCTTCATGTATACCAAGCTATGTTTATATCAGTCTATTTTAAGTTGATGGTCACTTAACAGAGAATGCCAGACCTTTAATTTTATCACTTAGATTTCTTATGGTATCGTTTTTTAAAAAAAATTATCCCTCTTTTATGTTCTCTAAACTTAATTTCTCTAAAAAGCTTCACGATGTTTTCTTTGAAGTTTAGTTAGCATTTTTCTCCAGTTAAACCAGCCATAAAATAAGAGAAATTAGTTAGAATTTTTAAATGAACAGCTAGCTATAAGTCTAATGATATAGTTAAGAAAAAGAAAATAGAAGAGCTTTCCTAAACTCACAAGGGAAGGGAAAGTGAAGTATTAAAGCTTCATGCTTCATAGTGGTCCCAACTTGCCTCTTTGGCCTTTAAAAAAAAAATGCAATGACATAAAAGACTATTGTGCTGTCTCCGGGTTTTCAAGCTTTTGGAGTCACTATTTGTGCTCATGACTTAGAGCAATGAAAACAAGTCTTTTTTCCCCAAGACACAAGTAGCTTCAGTCCAATCCACTCCAGACTTCCCTGGCAGCGACCCCAACACTGACCTTGACTTATTCTAGGAAGAACTCTGCCTGTTCAGTCCTTTTAGCTCATTTTTATGTGAATTACTGTTCACTAGTGGTGACCCGAGACCAACCAATTAAAAAAACCTTCATTCATGATTCATTTCATTTCTAGTGTGCTGACTTTTAATTATTATAGTATCTTTTTCCTTACAGTAGCCTCTTTGGCACCTTGTACACCTAGCCTATAAGCATTTTACCCAGGCAGTGACAGATCCAGATGACTCTCTGACCAAGGGTATGCTTAGTCTTTGACATTAGGAGTCCCCATTCTTTTGCTATAGCTCTAAAAGAAGTAGAGGATCCATGCTACCTGTTTTGGTTCTCTTTTTTTTTTTTTTTAAGGAGGGCGCACCTCACAGTGGCCCATGCGGGGACTGAACCAGCAACCTTGGTGTTATGAGCACCACGCTCTAACCAACTGAGCTAACCCTCCACCCCCATGCTTCGATTCTCAATCCTCTGTATCAAATGTCAGAAGAGAGAGCTCTATCCCAATCATTCTTCTCAAGCTGTCAAAGCTGGAGGTGTTTTCAGTCCAGCATGCGGCTGCATTGCTTTGGGTCGAGCATCAGCATGTCTCCTGAAATGTTTCACTTGACTGGCCCGTGCACGCCTACATGTCTTCAGTTCCCCGTAAAATGTTTTGCCGTCTGGCTGTTCGCTTCACGTGCTCTTAGATCCTGCTTCAAGCAGTTTGACTCTCAATCTGGTGGTTTTCCTTCTGGATCACAGAATCCTCTTGAGGGCAGAACCATTTTGAATGTTTCTGTAGCCCTTCCTGCCTTGCGTAGAGGCATTCATTCATGTCAGTAACGACGATTATCATTGCTGGAGCTTCTAGCTCTGAAGGACTAGAGGCCCACTGGTGTCATTCACTGGTGATGAGGACCAAGTTCAGAGGGCAGACACAGTGACCAAACAACCATTGTCAGAGCCCTGGAAATAGATATTACTGAGATACAAGGGTGAATGAGACAGCCCTGCCCTCAAACTTTTTGGTGTAATGGAGAGAAAGTCTATGCAAACCCTAGGAATAAATGGTTGAGGGGAGGGGAGGGACCAGTGTGTGTAACATGCTAGTAGTGGTTGAGTGTGGAAGCAGCCAGCCTTAGACTCCAAAGTGACTGTTTCATGCGTGCATGTGTTTTTGTGTGTGTGATGCAAAAGGGTGCATTTTACTCTATCACGGTGGCTTGGTCTGTGGAAGTGGTCCTATCCATGTTGTCAAACGTAAACCAAATTTTAAATATAGTGCAATATTATTTCTTTGTAGGCTTTGAATCTTTTTTTTCCTTGCCAGCAGTCTAACAGAACGATGGAATCCTTTTTACCTAGTAGCACTAGAGTGTATTTGGACAAACAGGCAGAATCTTTGCACAGGTTGTAGGTCACCAGGGGAGAACTGTTAGAAGATTTTGTAGTTTAACATATGACCTTAGTTTCCACCTGGAGGTCAACCTGACTGCTTCCATTTTTAAGAAGAAAAAGAGATGGATAACTAGTTACCTAGCTACTTGAATGGGTGGGTTATAACGAGGCTCACAAGGACTGGGGTGCACGAGTGTTTCAAGGTCACCCAGGGGAACCATAGGATCTGCAGAGGGCTTTCTGGAATTTGAAAACAATTCCAGTAAAGTCCTTTATTGCCGTTTCCAGGATTGTAGCCTGATGAAGAAGCAATCAGCTTCTTTTGACAGGAAAGACAAGCACACGCAAAAAAAATGCTTTGTTGGTTATCTCAAGAAATGTGGCTCAAGTAGAATAGCATGTGACTTTTGTTAAAAATTTAGATGTTAATAAAATGTGCGGGTGAGTCATAACCTCCACGGCTCCCTGTTCTCCTCCATGCCCGTTCCTGCTCCAGCCTTGTGAATTAGCCCCTCTGATTTCTTTATGGTGCCTCTACCCAGCCTGACACACGGGGCAAAGGTTTTTACACCATCCTGTGACTTCTGTAGACTCTGTACCGTGAGCACGGGGATCACAAAGGCCCCCCCTCCCCACTTTATGAGGCTCTGGTGCCGTGGAGCTGCTGGGGTAGAATTCCTTCCAGTAGACAAGGTTTAACCTGATTATGCCCAGCAGGCAAGAAGGCGCCCTTGGAAATTCGTCTCTTTATTGAGATAAACTGTAAAGAGGACGTGCTTGTAAAGGAAAGAATGCAACGCTAAAAAATAGGTTCAAATATTTGATAATGGGGGGCGTGAAGGGGGAGAAGGAAGACGTGTGGACATCTAGCATCTTCTCTGCTTTCCCTGTTTATACTCTTAAATTACAAATGTGATGATGTGATGTGACTTTGTGACCCCAAACTTGGGTTAAATAAGAATCCACAGTGACAGCAATTTCTCTAGGAAGAGAAATTGCCTCTCTCTCTCTCTCTCTCTCTCTCTCTCTCTCTCTCTCTCTCTCTCTCTCTCGTCTCTCAGGGAGGTGGGGGGAGGGAGGTTGGTGAAGCCATTTCCAGCATAAAAATGATTCCATTGTACAGTGTAAATTAAAGTCCTGTGTTTAATCGTGTGTTTGCCTTACATTCCCTCCCTCCCTGTGTAAAACAGACACTCTGAGCAACACTGCGCATCCATCACCTCAGAGGAAGCAGCACCACGACACAATTTAAAACTCAAAAATTCAGCAATTTATTTACCTGTGCCTTCAGCAAAGGTGTGCTCTGGGAAGTGAGCCCAGGGTTTTACTTAGAAAACCATCATTTCAGGAAAAATGTAAAGTGATTTGCTCTTTTCTCCTGCCTAGTCCTGAGACACCACCAATAGAAAAATACTTTGTACAGGTAAATTTTACTCTCTTTTATGACCTAATATACAATGCAACACAAAAAGCTGGCCATATGCACAAAAACACTAGATAAAAGGAACTTAGAAATGTGAGGGGAAAGTTTTTCATCCATTTTAAACTACAAGTGACTGATGTTTAATACCATCTCTCTGAACTGATGAAATACAGGAGCCTCTTTTCTCGGGAGGGGACAGCACATCAGGAGCGAAAATGAAAAGAGAAGTCCTGGGTTTATCCCCAGTGCGCCCACCCACTTTCCGCCTTAGCCTGGACAGGCCTACAAAGCGATGTAGCTGGGAGCTAATTGTGAGCTGTTTTGATAACGATCCGCTTTATGGCCAAGGCCAGTCAAAATTTGAAAAATGGTATTTCCACCAAACGCCTTACCGTCTTTACTTTCTCCAAAAATGGTCCATTTTAATTATTCCATAAATTTGGCTTGAGAAGTATTAAGATGCTAATTGTTATGGGCTCATTTTATTATTTGCTATCATAACCGGTCCACCAAACTAAGTACAGACTCCATCTCCCAGGGGAATAAAAAGGGCTTTACAAATTGCTAAGTCACCAACATGTCCTTTCACACACCTGTACGTGCCCTACAAAGTCTTGCACGGAATGTGCACATAGTATTTCCCCAGAAACACACACACACACGCACCGCATACCAATATTGTTGATTCATTGGGTTTCTGTTTGGAGACTGCCTGGCCTGCATGTGTTATGATTTCAAATTACTGTTTGTTCTAACTTCTTAGAAGGGTAAGCAATTTGGAAACAGTTAAAACCAGTAGCAAAAGAAAATGTCACCTGACATACTCCTTAGCTTAATTCCTTTTATTGAGACTCACACACTTATTGTTGATGGTGGGTAGTGGAAAGAAATGATAACGCTTTCGTGTTACATTTTAAAGCTATTTTTCTCCTCAAAATTTGAATAGTAACCAGACCCTACATTTATAATCAACACCAACCAGTTTTCCAAGCACTATATCATTGTAAACTCAAAAAAGGCCTAGCTGAAGGTTTCCTTGGTACAAACTCAGTGATATATACAAAGTGGGTTTGAACTGCACGGTTTCACTTATACTCAGATTTTTTTCAGTAAGTACTATAAATGTATTTTCTCTTCCTTATGGTTTTCGTAATCAGTATATAATACATATAACACACAAAATGTGTGTTGACTTACTGTTTATGTTATTGATAGGGCTTCCATTCAACAGTAGGCTATTTGTAGTTAACTTTTGGGGGAGTCAAAATGTATGTGATTTTCAACTGTGTTGCGGTCAGCGCCCCTAACCCATGCGTTATTCAAGGGTCAACTATATTTCTCTTTCCTTAGTTTCTACTTCCATCCCTTCCTCCAACACACACACACACACACACACACAACCCCTTCAAAGGGAGAAAATGGACAGTTTGCTCTACAGAAACATACAGATTGGGAACAAGGGTCCTGGGGTGTCCACTTACCTCATTCCTGTATGTTGGGTAAGAGTTGTCTGTCGTTCCTCCTACCCTCAAATCAGGCACTATTACTGACAAAATACCTGTCTTTACTTCTGGTAAAGGAAATGCTGTTGATGCTGCCATGGCATCATGTGTGAAAGTATTTTCTATTTAACACTTTCAGAAATCACTACTTAGCATCTAGAAAAAAAGTTTCTCCCTCTTAATGATCAGAGCTTAGCCATTGTTTACTATATTTAAAGCCAACTTACTATTTAAATTTCTTAGCCTACAGAAATAAAACATTTTGTCAGTTCTGAGTTGTTTGGAAAATTTTAGTAATACAGTGTCTGCATTTTGCCCATAAGATATTTGATGCAAATTTCCATTTATAGTGACAGTAATGATTCTGCTGATTTTATTTATTTTATACTTTCCACTCTTTGAGGGAAACGAGGTCTAGCAATTCCTCTTAGAAACGACTTGCTAGAAGGGTTGGTGAGTCTTCGCAAGTCCGTTTCACTACAGAGTTGGTAGAGTTTGTTTCTCTTGCAGTTTCCAGTTGTAAGAGCCAAGACACAGCCTATAATCTAAATACTGAGCTGAGCAACTGATCTCATCAGATATGTTTTAAGAAGAATAAAGATTAAGTAAATCTCAGTTTTTATGAGAGGGGGCCGTATTTAAAAATCAGTGTGATGCCTCACACTGAAATGAGTCCACCGTGGTTCCCTAGAGGGCCAATGAATTCAGCTCATGAATTAGATTTATTCCTTAAGCAAATAAGCCTATTTTAGAACTGTAAGCCTGTTATTCTTGAGAATGGATCCTACAATTTGACTCATTTATTTTTGTTTGAGGCTTTGTTTAGTGGCTCCTAATGACAGATTCAAGTACAAAATACTTGATGTAGGAGAAACAGAAAGCTCCTCAGGGCTAAGGAGGTGAAGCTAGAAGAATGAATTGGGCAAAGGAAATGGAGCAATCTGGAAAACACAGCCTGGCAATGGGGAGAGCAAACTGCAAACAGAATTCTTCTGTAGGGCTGGGAGCTGGCACCTGTGAGGCCCGTTGCCTGGGCCACACTAAGCTACTAACACACTCCCTGAGAGGTTTGGCTGGCTTGAAAATGTGCAAGCTGGCCACAATGCCCACTGCTCAAGAGCCCCTGCAGTAGCAGAAGCAGCCACATCCAAGCCACAGGTTCCAGGGGCCGGGCTGACTTTGGGCACAGTTGGCCTCAGGAGTCTCTCCAGCCTTCCTCACAGAGTGACTGACACTTTCCTGGGAAACAGACGAACAGCAGATCTTAGCTCCCAAGCACAAACTCAGGTGAGATGAGGGTGTGGTTAACAATCAGCATATTAATAGCTGACTAAATTGTCCTCTAGATTTGCAGCCTTCTGATCAATCCATCGGAACCTTAACGCTATTTGAGAGTTGTGCTCTGCTCTATTCATGTACTTTTTTGGCCACCTAATAAGCACAACATAGAAAATAAGAATCAACATAATCATGACAGAGTCAGGGAGAAGAGAAGAGAGAGAAAGAACGCTAAAGAGCCAGTGGACACAGGAGTCCCAATTTAACTCCTTGAGAACCAAGTGTGATACCTGACACATGGCCACAGTAAATAAATATGTTTCCCCTTCCTCTACTTGGGGCTCGTGTGGTGACAGTGAATGTAGAGCACAGATGTTAAGAGAGATTACTTGGGGAAAAGCAACAAATTTGGCAAATACTTGGATATAAGAAATTTAGAAGAGAAAAAGAACCAGAGGAAAGCTGGGGCTTCAAATTTTAAAAATCAGGCCTTGCATAAGGGATGCGGGCAGGAAGAGTTCTAGTTTTGAGAGAAAGATAAGTGGACTTTGGACATTGAATTTGGACTTGAGATCTTACAGGGACAAGATGGATTCAAGAGTCCCTGACATAGAGATGAAATCAGAAGTGGACTTGCCTTGGAGCTCAAGTTTTCATGCCCCTCACTTTTCCCGGACACAGATCTAATGTTGGGTTTGAAAGTTTTCATTAACTCAAGAGTTACACAGGCTTCAGGCCCTACGAAATCTGGACTCATCCAGATTGAAGTCAGAAGGCAGTACTCATGGGATAATTGGAGATAAAGGGTTGGAAGAATCCAGTTACTGTCCTCAAAGGACAAGATGGGTCAGCAGGGGAGGCCAGCAGGCCGGGATGCTGCAGGGAGATCAAAGGGAAGGGGGGCTGAGAACGGGTCACTGGACTTGACCTCTCAAAAAAATGACTGATTTTAGAGCACACAGTACAGTGGGGGGGGGGGGACTGGGAGCCTAAGTAGGAGGGGGGCTTGAGGAGTAGGAAGTGTGCACTGGATGTAG